GTGTGGTCTTGAGCAAAGGGCAGATGCAGGCAAAGGACACCACACAAGCCACTTCCTGCCTCTTGCGCCGCTGCTCTGGGCCCTTGCAGAAGCCTTGCTCCACCTCGTATCCTCACACCTAATAGGATGGGAAGATGGGTGAGAAGATTGAAGTAGACAAGTTAAGAAAAATAACTTTAAATAGAAAATGTAGTCAGGTGCCTAGTTTTTGCAAATCAGGGTGAATAATTATGCAAACTAAGCACAGCCAACCTACTTCTCTAAAGTATAATCCCCAGTGGGTTCTTACTTGGTTCTTTGTGCCTCACTGGGGCTGTTCACAGCTTGCTTGATTGACTCCAAAGTTTCAGGCTACCTGGCTTCCCTGAGTTCAGAGTGATGGCAAAAGGGCCCCCAAATTTTACTGCGTGTCACTGCTGTTGATCTGTCTCCTGGACCAGAGGGGGAGACGTTCCAGTGAGATTGGGACCAGACTGCCTGTTCCCTGACAAAGAACGTGACTGTAGTAGCATGGCCAGGGAAGGAGGCTCGGGAGGGCGGGGGCCAAGGAGCCACTCTCTCCCCCGTGACAAGTGCCGGCTTCCCGGAGGCCCGGGTATCAGGGGCAGTACGCTGTCTGGAGCAGGTCTGAGGCCTCCCCGCTGATTCCCAGCTCAGTGTCCCAGCTGGGCGACCCTCCTTCCTCTGTGGTCTGACACGCAACTTCGTAGGGCACAGTACTTGGGAAGCCGGGAGAAGGTGAGAATTTAGCTGGGAAGGAATTGCACCAAGGCCATTCCCAGTGGGACACAGGACCACCTCTGCTGCAGGTGCATGGGCCAAGGCCCCACCTGTGCATGAGGGGACAGTTCCTGGGCCTCTGAGCTGGGCGGGAGATCACAGGCCAGGCTGCAGCAGACACCTGTTGGCCTCCAGGCAGGCTCATGCCCACGCAGAGCTCCTGACCCCCTCTTCTGTTCCAATTTGCTTTCCCCAGGGACTCAGCACGGCCACCAAGGACACCTATGCTGCCCTCCGCATGCAGGACCTGCCCCCTCGCTAACAGCACCTGGAATTTCACCACTCACAGGCCAGACCTGCAGATGCCCAGATTGTTAAAGACACAGGATAAAGTATTTACAAACCAGTTCACTCATATTTCTCCACCACCCAAGTATTCTTCTTTACGATCGGGATGCTTCAAGTTGTAACATGTGGTCATACCCAATTGCAAACTGTCACACAGAATTTCTTCCCTGGACGCCGGCAGGGAGCGCGTCCCCCAGGCCCTGTCCTAGAGGAGCCTGCTGGGAGTGCAGCATGTTCCGGGGTTTTCTGCTTCCTGGAGGCTATGGGCAGGCCCCGTCCCCAGTGGCTCTGGGCTCTTACCTGGGGGACGGGCACCCTCCTCCTCCAACACAGCTGAGGAGTTCAGGCTGTGTTCTGTAATGTCGCCCGAGAAACCACAGATGTTAGCGCGTGTCCTGATGGTCTGCATCGTTCTGTCAGTATTTGAGTGGCTTCGCTCCTGCTGTAAACTTCGCTTCTGTTGTCAGCGTAGCCCATCATTCCACGGTAACTGGTGATGGGCCAGGGAGGCTGTGGTGCCTCCCTGTGAAGGGTGAGGGCACAGGGGAAGGGGGGGTAGGTAGCAGCTGGTGGTGGCTGAAGAAGGGAAGCAGTGGTGGATCAGGGACGGGAGCAGGGGAGCCAGAGGCCTGGGGGCGCAGGAGGGGGCCCTCCTGCAATCAAGCATACGTTCCCCGTGATAGAACTTGAGTGCCAGGGCCTGTGGGGACCAAAAAATGAAGAAGCCCAGCCTTGCCCTCCCGGAGCCCACACTCTCACAGGGAAGCGAGCTGTGAAGAGTCCGGTGTGCAAGAACACAGCAGTGTCATGGCTGACTACGAACAAGGTGAGGGGCAGCGAGACCACATTCTCTGCAGGCACTTGGGCACCTCACACTGAGTGAAAAGACAGCCGTATTGGGAAAGGCCTCAAAAGAAGACTCCGCTCCACTCAGACCTAGAAAGATCCCAAAGGACAATGGCAGGGTGGGAAAAGCCTCAGCTGACTTACCTGGAACAGGGCTGTGTGATAAAAGGGCACGCGGCTATGGATGGAAAACCCTCTTTGCTCTGCTCGGTGTTAATTTATACTGGTTTGCTAGAACCTTACTTTTTTGCATAATAAACGCTTCAGTGAAAATGCTGCTTTACCGTAAGCTTTATTTCGGCAGTCAAGCCTGTAATGGTCATTTAGTCATCAGGCGATCAGCCTGCTGCTGGGAGAGAACAGGATGGCTCCTTGGAAAATGCAGGAGAGCCAGGTGCATACAGTGGCCCAAACGGGCTGTGCTTGGGGCAACATGGTGTCCGGCTACGCCAGGAGTCCTTACGCAGGAACCAGGAGAAGGTGATGGGGAGCTCCCTGGGTGCAGGGCTCACAGCACTGAGCTAGCTTGTGGCGTGCCGGAAAGAGCAGGAGAGAGGCCAGCTGAGCATTAGTGCATCAGGAAGAGGGAGCATCGTTGTCAGAGGGTGTCTGGGGGTTATGAATAGCTGCTGATGCCACAGCACAAAAACCTCAGTCTGGGGAATTCCCTGGCGGTCTAGTGGTTAGGGCCCTGTGCTTTCCCTGCAGGGGGCCTGGGTTCGATGCCTGGTCCGTGAAGTAAGACCCCCCCCCCCCCCCCCGCAAGCTGCAAGACACGGCACGTGGCCAAGAAAACAAAAACAAAAACAGAAACCTCAGTCTGTAGGGTTTGGGGAAGGAGAGGGGACAACAGAGGTCTTTTAGGTCAGGTTCTCCCACAAAAAGTGACCCTGTCCCCAGCAGTATTTCCTCTAACTGCAGTGGCTGTTTATAAGGCCCTAACTCATCAAGCCACCAATTAATATTGGGTAAAGACTTTGAAATCAGAAAAGACTTTGAAATCGAAGGCCACGGCTATTAAAAGCCCCTGAGCATTTGGGATTCCAACAGGAGTGATGTGCGTCTCTGCCCGGAGAGAAGGCATTCGATTCATACCCTGGCCCCAGAGGGGAATTCCATTCCATTCACCAAGTATTGACCTAGCACCTTCCTATTCTGTGCCCAGCGCTTGGCAAGGTACCGGGGAAGCTAGAGAAGTATCATCAGAGTTAGTTAGGGACTTAAAATTTTGTCATTGTATTTCATCCACACCGTGTAAAGAACTCGGCATCACAGTGCACTGTCGTGACACACACGGGACAGGCAGGTGGAAGCGGAGTGAGGGCGGGGTGAGTAGCTGCCGATGAAGGGGTACGGACAGAGCTCGGCAAGGCATGGGGGGAGCTGCGGAAGGTTTCATGGAAGGAACAGGGCTCTGAGGAGGGAGAGAAGGGCTGAAAACTATCAGCCCTAATTCTGTCACCTGGTCATGGGGCAAAGGAATGGGAAAATTACACCATGTTGTTTTAGCTGCGCTTCCACTGACTGAAGTTCACAATGACAAGTGAGAGCCTCATTGTGGCTGCTGCCGCTTTACCTGCTATTCACTGGGCATCTTATAACACATGAAGTTGGCTTCCTCTATTAGTCAACGTTAAGCCTCAACCTCATACCTAGTTTTAAGGTCAGCTGAGTTTCACACGGGCTGTGTGACCCACACGGCTGGCCTGAAGATAAGAGTTTGACCCAATTCGATCAAGATTTTGACTCAAGAGGTAGGAGGAAAGCTGGCTGTAAGCTATGGGTGTGGGAGCTGGCCCAGGGTGGGTGGGGCAGAGGACTTACTGGACTCCGTGCAAGGCAACTACACAGAGAAGGCCGCCGGGAGAGGACTCAGTGGACGTGCTGGCACGACGAAGCCCCAAATCAAGCTGAGGATGGCCCTGGTCTTCGCAGAGAGAAAAGGCTGCAGTTGGAGAATTCATACCCTCTCACGGGTAGTTCCTCTTGGAAGACACCACTGGAGTGGGTTAGAACACAACAACAACCTTTTTACAAAGGACTACAGGGTAACAGAATGGAATCAGTGCTTTTATCCTCATGCCTTAGCCCGTGACAAATGGGTTTTGCCTTCTGAAGTCCTCGTGCTTGTGAGCCCGCTGCTGTCTCTACCAAACAGCCAATTCCTGTTAAAACTTGAAATTGTTTTAAGAGTAACTTTACAAACTGAAAAGCAAGTTATAAATACAAGACAGGGTGGAATGGAAAAGAGCGAGGCATTCTTTGACGTAGGAGCAGAGGAGAAAAGGACCCAGCATTTGTCTTCCCATTTTGGGCCCCTTTCAAGACAGCAGCCATACCTTGAGACCATAGCGCAAGCTTTCTCTTTCAGCCTCTCTCCGTCTGCCAATTCAAGGGGGACGCACAGACTCAGTTCATACACACTAGTTAAACAGGATGCCTCCCAGAGCTCTTCAACAAGCTGAAGTTTTCTCTCTGTGGGAAATTCATTTTAAGATTCAAACTTTCCCTTTTATGCAGTCAACTAATTGAATTAAGACACTAAATGTTGGCTACAAGAAGCTAGACAGACGGAGCTAAGTTGTGTACCCTCAGACAGGAGAACCAGAGGGCCAAGTTCAGGATTAGCTTCCTTCAGAGGACCCCAGAGAATGACCGTTCAGGACCTGGCAGGAAATGCTAGAGGGGCACGGTGGTTTGGAAAAGTCAATTTCAATGACAGTTCTGCAGTCAGATACACAGTGAGAGGGGACCTCTGAAGAGTTCTCTCACAGATGAATCAATCGATCACACAAAGCCCTCGGGGTCTGAAGGAAACCACTGCTACCAGACTCGGGGGCCCAGGAAGCCACTGCGGCCTGGGCAGAGGGCAGTGTGGTGGCCCCAGCGCCGCACGGAGCACAGGGAGAAGCGTGCCGAGGCCAGGGCACGGGTGGCGGAGGAACCAGTGTGCTTACAAGTGATCCCGGGCTGCCTGAGAGCACCTGCTGGAAAAAATAAGTTGGAAGGCTTAGTTGAGAAGTCTGTATGGGAATGTGTGAAGCATCCCGAATACCAATGCAACAACTTCAGAGAAACTCAAACAATGTGAAAACACTTGGAAGATGGTTTAATGATGTTTTACAACAGAAATGAACTGTACAATTACAGTAAGTTTAATATATATAAAAAATTACAGCAGACAAATGCATCTACACAAAATCTACCATTTTCATTCTGATTCACTGTCACCTACACAACCTCTCCCAAGCCTACAGCCCCCTGCAGGCAGCCCCAGGAGGGGGAATCATATAAAGGGCACTTTTAAAGAGACAGCACCACTCATATTCCCCACCACCTCCTCAGGCCTCAGGAGGTATCAGCTAATTCCCCCAAATGTAAATTGCTTGTGTTTCGGGTTTTCAAAACCAAGAAAACGTGTGTCTCCCGGGGGCCCAGGTAACGAGGCCCCAGACTCCCAAGTTATGGGTTGACTCTTGTAGCATGTTCCTATCCGAGGGGAAATGGCTAACCAGGCGTCTGGGACAGTGAGGCTATACAATAGCCACCCAGATTGCAGAGTTATCTAAGGAGAAATGTAAAAGGACTCCCAATAAACTACTTAGGAATTGTCACTGCCTCATTAAAGCTGCTGGACAATTTTGGAAAGAATCATTTACACCACATCTTAAGTTTCCACAAAAGAGAACTCAAACTCACATTTTAAAGTTAAGTACATAAAACAAAAAGTTTTGGGAGGCCAAGGGGTCAATTCCCCCTTGTGTCCCTCCCTTGACAACAGTGGAAAAACACCCCTGAATCAATATTTAAAAAAAAAAAGGAAGAAAAGAAAAAGGTGGGGGGAGTTAAGATATTTAAAGACAGAGAGAAAGAAAACAGCTTTAGAAAAAAACCCAAAACAACCACTGTCTCTTTAAAACAAAACAAAATCCCAGTTGGGACCGATAAATCAGTAAATATTCAATCCAAATTGACCCCGGTGGAAGCTTATTACTGAATATTATGTACACTCAGAACTTTTTTGTTTTCTTTTTTATTATGAACACCTAGGCAGTGAAAACTGTTATGTTACTACATACATAGACACACCCAAAACATACAAAAATACTATTATTTCAAACTACTAAGAATAGGACAGTTCAGTTATCTTCATGCTATGACTTTAAGAGCATTACACTGAAACAAACAAGAAGTTAAACGACATTTTTTTTTAATATCCCAGAAATATACCAAAATATACATCTAAGCTTTGGAATTACTGAGGTTAGACTAATGCAAGTGCTGGGTAATCGTACTTAATACACAAGTCTAAGGTTCTGCAGGAAAGAAATTATCTTTGGTATCTGCATCAGGCTAATATTATTAACATTTGGATTTTGCTTTGGGATAGAGCTTGTATGACCCTAGAACCAAATCCCCCCCCTCCCCTAATCAACTGAGATTAAAAAGATCCGTGTAAAAAGTTCCTTCATTTGCACCCACCACCCCCCAAGTTAAAAAGTCACAGGCATCTACCTAGCACAAAAGGTTGTGAAATACAATGCATAGTTGCACAGTGGTGCTGCAAAAAGGAAACAAACTACTGTAAGAAGAAATGAAAAAGCTTGATAATCCTTCTGCGTGTTTTCTCACAAACAGGACAGCCACTTCCAAGCAGTTCCAGTAAAGGAAAAGAGAGAAAAGGCTCAGAAGGGCACCTTGGCGAGTATTCACGGGCATGGCCCCAGAGGTTAAAGCACCCGGCAGAGCAGCCAATCCTGCACCAGTGTCTTCAACTTCCCCCACTCTGTGGAGTCCAAGGCGCCCAGCAGCAGCCCGGGCTCCCCGTCCCTGCGCTAAGCCCCTGCAGTGACCATGGCTGTCGTAGGGAGGACTATCGTGGTGATGGGCTTCTGCCTACCGTTTTGGAAAATCTGAAATGCCAGTTCGTTCCATGGCACGTTCACAGGTTGGCAGGAGCCAAAGCTACCAAGCATGTGCCTCTGCACACCCTGGAACACTGGAAACAGACTCCCTGCCCTTTCAGTGCAGTCAGGGGCCCCCCCTTCCCTGCCCCGGGCCTCGCTCCTCTAAACACCAGGACGCCACAGACTGGATTGACGCTGAAGACTTCCCTTTTCTTTGGTTTTTTTGTTTGTTTTGAGTTTATACAATCATTAAAAAATCTTTGGTTTTGGCTGGAAATTTAAAAAACAAAACAAAACAAAACAAAGAAACCACCCTCCCCTGGCTTATAGCAGCAGTAGTAAGACCTGGCAAAGCTCTTTTTTTCGACATTGGGGGTGGGAATTGAAGGTTGGGAACTACATTCAAAGAAAAGGTGAAGGGCTGGGGTTGCAGCTTCTAGACAGCCCATTGGATATAAGATTGTCAAATAATAATAATATTAATAACAATAAAAACTTAAATATTTGGATTTTTTTTTGGTCATGTCAAAGGAAAAAAAGTGAAATGTGTATGCAGCAGTCAGCTTAAAGGAGCCTTTGGTGTCTTCCCTTCCACCCAAAGTCCTGAAAATAAGCAGAACCCTGAGGCCTCACAGGGGAAGGGGATGGCCTCCCCGCACCAGGGAGAAGGCAAGTACTGGAGGGGAGGTGTGGCCAGCAGTCAGAGATGGGGGGTGGGGTCGGGGTGTGGCCGGCTGGCCAGCCCCTAAGAGCAGGGTGGCAAGGAACAGATGTTAAGAGACCTGGGAAGACCCCCTGCAACACAAAGAAGGAGAAGATTGCAATTTGCCCTCAGTTTGCAGTAGCTTTTAAAGCAGCGACATTCAGAGGCTTTGGGAGGTCCCACCCTAGGCTACAGGTCCCGTGATGCTATAGGCCAGAGTTCAACATTACTCAGAGGAGGGAGGGCAGACTTGGCAACTCTGTAGGGTTTAGAGAAAGTTTTAAAGCAAGTTACTCAGTCACGAGTTAGAAATGAGGTATACAACAACTCCTGGACTCGTGGTGGGCGGAAAACCCCACGCTTATTCACCTCGCCTCTGCCACCACCACCACAGCTGCAGGGACTGAACTACGGTCTAACGTGGGGGAGGGCATTTCCTCGGAGTGACACCTCCTGTGGACTGAGTAATGCACACAGGCCCCGCGAGCAGAGGTAAGAAGCCGGAAGAAGTCTGCATCTCCACTTTGCCCGCACTCAGGGGAGACACGACACACCATTTACGCTGTCAAAAGCCAATGTTATAATACAGTTGCAACGTCTTTGGTTCTCTCCTTTCCCCCCTCCCAACTGTTTGCAGTTTTACACGCAACCAGGCTAGTCCACTCTACTCTCATACAGTACGTGCCTTCCGCAGACCCACGCAGGATCAGAACCAAAGACGAGGCACCCCACCTGCCTACAACTACAGCCTTTCCTAACAGGACTGTCTTTCCAGCTTCTGAAAGTGCTTTCCCTTTCCTGCTCTATTGCTCAGACTTAGAGACGCTGAGGGACTGGGTAGGAGTACAGAGTCTTCTCTCTCCTTGGCTCTGTCCTTTTCCATTCGAAGGAGATCCCAATTTTAAAGAAGTGTTTGGATGTCTAATTTTGGAAACAGCACTGTACCCAACTGTCTGCCTGCAGACTTTGGGACATCATGTGAGAGAGCTCAATGCCACTGCCAAGTTACGAAAGAAGCCTTAAGCTGCTTTTGTGAGGTTGTGGCTGACTCCATGAAAACAACGATGAACAAGTAAACAAAGAAAATTCGGGGGAACTTTGCAGCAGACCTCAATATATTTTTTTTTTTTTTTTACAGTAAATTAGTTTTGGGGTCTGAACTTTCTGACAGTGTCCTGGGTTTGAACCGGAAGGTGGCACTGGGTGGCACGGCCCTGTGAGGAGTGGGCTGATTCAGGGATGCAGAAAGAATCATAAAGGGCACTGGCCCTGCCCTGCCCACCGTGGGAGCTTCACTTCCGGGTGCAGTGGCGGTCCATCATGTATGCCTTGTCTTCCCTCAACTGTTGTTTCAAGTGCTCTTATCTTCAATAGCCTTGATACCTGCTTCCTGACCTACCTAGTGCTTTGAAAAGTCACACAATATTAATACCACTTTTATATAACATCAGAACAATAAGATTATTAGTAAAGCTGTCATGAAGTTCTGCAACCTGATCGTTTTCTGTCGAGAGCAATAAATTTCTTATCCCTCCCCTCTTTTCCGTGTCTCGTCAATAGTACACCAAAACAGTGAACTACTCAATTCCCCAGAGCCCATATGTGAAAACATTCCGGAACAATACAGCTCTGTGGAAGAATAAAGGAAGGCCTTTTGGATTTCCATGTAATCTTGCTCTTGAAAATGCTTATCCTTCACAAGTGACAGAACAACTAAATATCGTCTGAACTCAAACAGGCTGTACTGGTTCTCTTTATAAGTGTTAGATAAAGGGAAATAAGAAAAGAATTCTACCCCCATCTTTTGCCACCCCCCCTAAATTTCCCAGCAGTTCCAAGAATATCACTGCCACACTTAGCAACTCTATCCATTTTTACAGAGCCAGCAGAGTGAAACTAAATAAATCTCTTTTCCAAAGCCAGGATGACCAATAAGACTTCCTTCAAAAAGTGGGGATGGGGAGGGGAGAGGAAAAGGAAAGAGACAAAGGTAAAGCTTTTCCAAATTTCAGCTTTTTGTTCCTATTCCCTCTGCCTGTGTTGAAAACGTAAGGATAAACAATGCAGTGTCTTTGGTATCCAAACCGAACCCCACTTAGGTTCTGTGAGATGGATCACTTATTAAAAAATAGCCTTTCTGGACATAGAGTCTATATCTGAACTCAGGGAGCCAAGAAAGTTTGTCCCAGAGTATGGCCAGAAAGGACTCTTAACTGTTCCTAAACCAGCATCATTTCTCATTCACATCCCCACTAAGAACAATACTCTTCTCAATCTCACTAACTAACCCATCCCTAAAGGTCACACCATATCACAGGTAAGAGGCGAGCAGGTTGGCTTTCAACTTCTTGATCTGGTTTCCTTCTGTTCGCATTTTTGGTCGAGACAAAATTAGCCTTCGTATGAGAGAAGGAAGTGAGGTTTTAAACTGTTATGCTACTAGCACAACATTCAGTAACATGACAGAGGGCGACAAAAAACCAAAAAACCTGCTTAATTTTCTTAGATTAAGATGCATCAATCATTCATTTCTCCTTTCCTCTCCAAATTAAATGGTGCTTCTCTACTTCTGCCTCTATTGCTCAACCACACACCCCGACATTCACACATTCATCCTTCTCCTAAGCTCTTGCTACGTACAGAGGTAATGAATCATCAGGAGAGGCTGGCGGGGTATGGGGGGCCTGGGCAGCCACAGGAAGGGATGTAAATGCCTTCGAGGACCCTGAACTGGACAACCCACGTGTAACCTGCACGCCACCGCACACTGCACTGCAGGCCAGACCGCAGAGAGGCTGACGGATCCCAAACCCAAACACAGGGATGATCAAGTTTCCTTTGGCAAGACACAGATAAGGAAAAGCGAACACACACACGAGCAATGCAACATTTTCCTTCTAACATAATCACCTTCTTCTCTCCCCACCCACCCTCCCTAACCCTATAAACTGTAACCTATAAACAGGATCCCCAATACATACAGCATCAATCATGTTTATCAATCATAATAAACATCAGTTCGACTAAATGCTACAGCTAGAATTATTTCCACTATTTATAAAGTTTTTTCTTTTTACTTATTTATTTGGTTTTTAGTTTAAAACCAGTTCTGTAACAATGCTAAACTATGCTGAGGTATTTTATGGAGGGGCCAGAAGCTAGCTGTTACCCACGAGCATTACCTCCCAGATTAAGGTATCACCATTGAAAGAGAAAAGGAAGAGAAGGAAGAGAGGAAAGGAGATCCAGATTACAGAATCAACGTAAGAGCTGCTAAGGTTTGCTGCTTGGAGCAAAGGCTGAGAGTAGAAGAGCCCACACATGGAACTGCTTCATGAGTAAGGATGGTCAGAAGAAAGCAACTTCACAAATCATATGGAAATCTGGGTGTAAACCTGACAACTCTGAGAAAACACATATTCCCTGCCCTTTGGATGGAATCCTTTCAAATACCTTACTGAAAATTTCAGGCGTGTCCCATTGACTCTCTTTAGATGAAGAAAAGAATGAGGCAGAACAGGATTAGTATCAGCCTTTAATGATGAAAGCAGTTTACTTATCCTATTTCTGTCCAAGTTCACATTTGTACTGTGTGCACCATCTATGCAAGTAGATGGCCAGGGCTGTGATTAAACTAAATGCTTTTCACACACACATACAAAAATGAACTCATAATGGTTATGATCAAATGAATCCATCAATTCTTGCCCGTTTGAGTAATTTTAAATGTCAAGTTTTGAGTCTTTTTCTCCATTAGTATTGATGGTCTTTTTAACATTTTCAGCTCCAATAAACACGGTCTGAACGAATAAACTTTAAATTCATCAATTTTACATGCCGATTAAAGAGAAAGTATTGGACCAACTCTCATAATTAATTGTTGAGGCCCCTTAACGGAGGGTTCTCAGATCGCAGACTGACTTTTGGGGGGCCCCTGTGGGTCCAAGGCCACAGCAGACTGCCGGCAGGAAGTGTGAACCAGGCGCCGCCCCGCGCCGTGCGCTCACGGGCAGCCCTGACGCTCAGGGCTTGCTGACTGCTCCCTGTGTCCACTCTCTCTCTTTTCTTCCTACCGTAACGATTTCACTTTTTTCTTGGTAAAGAAAGTTTTGTGAGGATGACATGGTTTGGGAACAACTTTAGACTATGAACAACAAAGAGCTTCTTTTGTAAGCCAAGTGTTTATTATACACTAACTGCAATGTTGACTAACAGGATTTACAACTTTAAAAATCTACATTAATTTCCTACATTTTCAAATGTATCCAGCTCTCCCAGCAATTTTTAAATAGAAAATTTAATGATAAAGATTGGGCTGAACTTAAATATTGTGTCAAGCAAGTATCTGTGCTTCTGAAATAGACAAGGTTTCCTCCCACCTTCCCAAATAAATGAGGGATAATAGAACAAAATAATGTAAAAAAGAGGTACAATTGTGCTTTTCTCCCCAACAATGAATGAACTGTGTAGAACAAACTGGCAAGATAATCTCACTAAAAATCTTTTAATTAATATTATTTGCCCTTGTAAAAAAACGCTAATTTCTAATGATGCTACCATGAAGTACAAATCAGTATGGTCCTACACAAAACGAAAGTTGGATTCCTTTGGTTCCATTCCTCAATAATAAGCTGAGTAAATTAGGATGGTATTGATCTTTCTTACCAAATAAATAAAAGCAAGTGTGTTTTATATCAGGTAATGAATGGACAGGAACAATTTTTTTAATTCTAAAAAGCTGCCTATGTAACTTCAGAAACATTTAAACTAACATAGCACTCAACATATTTCTTAAATCAGGAACAATACTACTGTTCCTCTGAGAAGCCCTTTTCCAGGTCTTTCTGCTGTCCTTTAGATTTATACAGGGTACAAATAAAGTTCACAACCAAATTGCCCCGCTGTGATAAGCAGGATTCAAACAATTACATTCACCACTCCCTAGGGAGGGCCCATTACCATGGGCAAATATAGTATCGCTATAAATGCATTTAGAGTTAGTCTTTGGCTTAATATGTGTTAACCAAATTCAGGGATAAAATAAAACTTGCATAAACATTAAGGGGAAAAAAAGAAGAATGACACAATTAACTGTGATGACCTATCTGGCCCTCCCTCTTAGAAATGCAGAAACGCTACCAAACATCTCTAACATCTCTTTTTGGTCAAATGGTCCCTCTTAATTTCCAGACTCTCCCATATAAGGTGACTAAAAGTTAAGTCTGAGTACCTTAGCTTAGGAGATTCATTCAATTCAAAAAGCATTTCTTGAGATGATAAAAAAGATGATATAAAGTAAAAAAGGACTAAAGGCTGAGTCATGACACAATATGATCAGTAGACTATCTAGGGATGATGATGATGGGGAGTCAATTTTAAGTTAAACACCCATCAACAAGCCGTTTTAGTGTTTCATGTGTACATGTGTAAATGTACCTTTCATTTCACAACTTGTTTTTAAATAAGAGAAAAAAACAGAAAAATTCTAAAAGTTAACCTTTGTCTAAGGATTTATTTCTTCTTTTAAACACAGGTTTTTATGCTGGTTTAAATTTTATCTTCATAAAGTGATCCACAACCCCACATACACAGAGGCAGAATCCCCCTATCCCGAATTAACTCGAGAATATAGACAGGGCAGGGAAGAGAAGACCATTGTACTGACATTTAAAGCTTAGTATCTTCTTTTTTAATATCGAAGTCTCTTGGTGAATCTTATTTGGGAGAGGGAGCATTTGTGAACCACACAGGAGAACAAACAAACACAGCCTTTCCTTGCTCTTCCTCTTAATCCATTGGGCTTGAGTCCCTTGGGTTTCAACACTTCCTTTGGTAGCGATTTTGGGAAATTAATGCCACAACCTCTAATCCAGTATGGTGGGTATCAGCACTTCCCTCCCTGAATCCTTCCTCCTAACTTACCACTCCCAAGGGAGGGACTCATCATTACGGGCAGCTACAGTATTACTGACAGCCCTAAAATCATTTGCACAGACTAAAATTAGAGATGTCAAATCAGGATAAAAGATTAAATTCAACTACATCAGAGAAATAGTGGGATGAAGAGGAGAAAAATTAGTAACTGACACTGCCATTCTATTTACACACCAAACTAAATAAACTACTTAAAAAATCAAGTTAATGTCTGCCCAGAGGATATTACAACTTACCAACACAAAAGGTTAAAACAAGCAGCAACTTTTATATAAAATTAATAAAGACAAATGAAAAAAGAAATTGTCAGTAGCATCTATCTCCTCAATGTGTCTGAACTGCACGATATAAACTAGTCCATTAGTACAGCAGCTTGCTAAAAACTGACTTTGGTTCAAGCTTAGTCAAAAAAACAACATTAAAAAAAACATACCACACACAAAAACGGTGGATGGACATTTGTTAGTTTCCCTGCTTGCAGTTCATTGATTTTGGAGGGATTTTAGGAAGGTGAAGGGTAGTTAATTAAATACTTTGTGAAATAAAATGGGAAGACAGAAGGAATAGAAGAAAAATTAACAAGGGAACTAAAACATTTCTGGTCTTTTAATATTAATATGCCTGTCTCCCACTTGGATGATCACAAACAAAAATGCACATTGTGTCTGAATCACTGCCTTTCCCAACATTGTGAAGAGACAAATACACAGAATCCAAGCTCCCTTGTGGATATAAGCAGAGCATGCAGAAGAAAAATTACCTGTAAGCTCTCTCTCAGCCCCCAGCTCGAAACGGGGAAAAAGTGCAGTCATAGGACCACTGGAGATGTATGCAAGCACCCACAAACACCAGATGGGAACCTTTCACTCCAATAAGAAGGGAGCTCAGATGAGCTGCACTGCAGTGATCCAGTCTTTTGGGAACTTTTTGGATACAGATACTATAATAACAGAACACTGACAAAAAGGGAAATCTAATTTCCAAGTTACCCTCATTCCTCTTCATCTACTTCCATAAACACTTCCTTTTCATGGGCTCATTTACATCGTCTAGAAATACCCTGAAAACAATTACGGAAGCTAATCGCCTTCTACAATGAACAGAGACGTGTATTGCCATTTAGACCTACCTAGCAGGAGCATCACTAACAAACCAAGGAGACACTTGAGGTGTGTGCAAAGTTCCTGCTCAAAGTCTTTCAGAGGTTCTACAGATCCCATGCCCGGCTAATGAGTGCCTTCTCTAGTCAGAGAACCAAGGAGAGCGTCAGGGTTAGAGGAATTGATAAGCCGTCTGGTGAAAGTCTGTAGCTAACCTCAGACTCTTCTCATCACACCTCTTTCGGTGATCTATAACCAATGGAAAACAGTCTAGTAGAGTTCCTTCAGAAAACAAAAGAAGGGAAAAGTTTCCCAATTTCAGTAAGTTATTTTGTTCTTTGCCAAGTAAGTTAAAGGAAGTTTGGATGAAAAACTTCCACAAAATGGAAAAAACAAACAAACACACCAACAGTAGAGCATTTCAGGAGATAAGAAGTCAGGAGAACCACCAAGTTAGGTGTCTGCAGTAGTCTTTGCTCTTCGGAACCAAATCCTGCCCTGCAACATGTACAGCCATTCCTGTTGAAAGTAGCAGAAAGCAGCACTGTTGCACCACAGGATCTGGGCCTCAGGTCATTCAATGATTTGGGGTGAGTGAGAGCTACAGTTCAGCAGGAATTCCTTCCTACGCAAAAGTGCTCCAAAGGCACCACCTGATGGGGGGGAGGGGGCGTGTGTGGAGTGGGAGTGTTTGCACACACTGCCTTCAGCTTCTGCACCAAGCCTCTTGCATAAGTGGCAAAAGAAAATAATTTTCTAGCACCTCTGTAAGAGTCATCAAGGATAAGGAAACCAGCAAGAACATTCCCCGCAATTAAGAACGTTAAGTCCCCCTTACCCTAAAACCCTCCCGCCCCACAGTGTGGGAGCTCACTGAAATAGGATCCAGGAGCAAGAGATAAACATGTCCAAACTATATATATATATAAAAAACAATAACAACAACAACAACAATAACAATAGAGATACAGTAATACAGGCCTGCCTAAATTGTACCAGTTAAGAAAGGAACCCCCAACACAATTGATACGATTATAAACACCTTGTTATGACTTAATGGCCTGTACAACAGACCCATAAAAATGATTTTTTTTTTAAGAAAAAAAGAAATTTAGACAAACAAGAAATCCCCTTCCTATATTGGAATTGGTAACCCACCTTAACTCGTCATCATGACTGCTGGAAATGATAAGTAGTCCTTTCACTTATTTTTTTGTTTGTTTGTTTTTGATTTTTTGTTTCTGCCTTTTTTTTTTGTTTTTTTTAAAATTTTTGGTTAGAAAGTTCTCCAATCCATGAAGCAATCCTGAAAAGACAGTGTTTTATTACAAAATTAGGCAAATGTTGTCCCATTTCCATCTTTTTTTTCCGGCATGTGTTTTTTCTTCTCTCCCTCCTCTCCCTTGCCCTTGCAACACGGCAAGAGGAAGCCCATCACGTGTTTCAGTCTCAGCCAGGCTGGCAGCCAGTTGCACTCGGAGTGAAGAAGGGGGCTGGCGGCGTCACTCAGCCCAGCTCACTGTGCCTTGGAGGCGGTGGTGGTGGAGGCAGCCCCGCTGGCAGAGGCCGCTGTGAAGAGAGAGGTCTGGAGGGGCTCAGCTGAGGTGGAGGTGGCATGGAGGCTGGCTACAGGTCCAGTATTCCCTGCAGAGGCTGCAGCGGCAGAGACCAAGCTAACTGGGTTGCTGGTGAGCAGAGAGAGGTTCTGAGGGTTCAGGAACAGAGGGGCAGTCACGATGTTGGGGGCTCCTCCCGCATTGGCAAATACCAGGTTCCCAGTTGCATCCAGTGACGTTATTGGAAGAGAGCCACCAGAAGCAAGAGCTACAGACAAACCCCCCGCAAAACAGGCAGGAAGGAGAATGTTAGCATCATCCCAGAGAAGCCAAACAACACATCAAATGTACTGAGTTTTCCCACAACCCAGATGGAGAAAGCGCATCCCTTAACTGAGTTTTTTACCCTTAATTACAGCACTATATTGTCACCAACTAAAGTTTATTTATAATTTTGAAAGAGCATAAAGGGCTGAAAACTCTAATTTTTTTTTTTTTCCTGCGGTACGCGGGCCCCTCACCGCTGCGGCCCCTCCCGCCGTGGAGCACAGGCTCTGGATGCGCAGGCCCAGCGGCCGTGGCCCACGGGCCCAGCCGCTCCGCGGCACGCGGGATCCTCCCGGACCGGGGCATGAACCCGCGCCCCCCGCATCGGCAGGCGGACCCCCAACCGCTGCGCCACCAGGGAAGCCCCCTGAAAACTCTAATTTAATGCGCATGATCAGGATAGGTGAGAGGAGAATCAAAGAGTCACGTTTCTATCTTGAAATCTCAACTTTATTCCATCTACCTAGAAATATTTGTTAAATCCAATAATTTTGTTTTTAATGAAGATCACTGCCTTTAGATTACCTCCATTCAAAAAACAAACTAGCTACAGAGATTAAGGCGTTAAAATATAGTTAGCTTTTATCAAACCAACTGGCATTACTGATAAATTTGAGTACTTCATAGTGTGATATACAAGATAAAAACTGTCTTTCGAAAAGACTTTAGTTCTAAAATAAGTTATATATTAACAAATAAAGTATAAGGTGTGATTCATTTCTTACTTCAAAACATTTCATTTCTATGACCTGCACAAAGGAGAATGATGAGTCTCTGTAGGAGGAAAGCAGAGCTATACTGATGCAGGTGGGTTCTAAGCTTAGGACTTGCTTTAATATGTAAGAATTTTTCTGTGATGCTGTTGCTTCTCCTTCATCATCAAAATTTTCATTAAAATAATTGGGCACTCTAATATCTTTTCCTGTATCTGACAACCCCCCACAATCCCCTCACTCATATAACCACATCCTCACATGTATATTTGAGGCACATGTATTTCCTAGTGGCATTAAAAATGATTGATTTCTTACATAATATATAAAGAAAGAGAGAGGAGCTGAGGGAATGTCCTTGAGAAAAGTGAGTCTTGGTGCAGCTTGACGTTTTCTGAGATTCCAGGCTTAGGGTCACAGTCCAGTTCTAGATCTTCCCAGAGAGTACCTGTTCTGTACTCAGTTATGCCCTATGGAAGGCATCTTGCCTTTTTAGTATCACTACAGAGGTACACCAGAGGTACACCGAAATGCAAGAGAAAACATGATTTATCACAAATCTTACTCCAAAAAGAAATCCTTTTATAATAAAAGCTTTACAGATCTAACCATCAATTTCACATATGATTTAGTCAATGAGAAAGTCAATATAATGTAAGGTAATCTAGGTCATGTTTTAGATTTGTCTGGAACTAATATTGTCTACAGTATACTGTAGAGATATCATCCATGAAACACTAATTTTTTTTTTTTTTTTTTTGCGGTATGCAGGCCTCTCACTGTGTGGCCTCTCCTGTTGCGAAGCACAGGCTCCGGACGCGCAGACTCAGCGGCCATGGCTCACGGGCCCAGCCGCTCCGCGGCATGTGGGATCTTCCCGGACCGGGGCATGAACCCGTGACCCCTGCATCAGCAGGCAGACTCTCAGCCACTGCGCTACCAGGGAAGGCCGAAACACTAATCTTTTTTTTTTTTCATTTCTTAATTAATTTATTTTTTTTCATTTCTTAATTAATTTCTTCTTTTATTTATTTTTCATCGAAACACTAATCTTAATTGAAGTTCGCTAACAGCTTATTTTTGGCCCCAAGAACTCTCATTTAAGCCCAAATTATTTTAAGAAAAATTTCTCAGATCAATATAGTGATATCTCAAAGTGTTTCCTTGAATCACGTAACAGCAAGCATCTTCAAACACAAAGCTCAGACGTTAAACAAATCAAACCCTTCAATACATAGAATGAGTGGATTTAGACTCATTTTAGACTGGATAGCATGCTAAGGCCAAAAGGGACCCATCTGGGCTTGGAAAAGAGACATTAAAATCCAAGAGAATATATGCTCTATAATGATGGGGATATACAAAGGGAAGAACCTAACAAGAATTAAAAGTACTCCTTAAGTCTGCACGATGTGCTCCAATGTTAATTCGTTATAGGGCCTTCTTGTATAAGGCTCTCTTAGGGGCGGGGGTGGGGACTGGAGAATTTTTCTTGGTCAAGTTTGCCTGGGGATGGGTCTTGGATGACTATTTAGAAAAATGTAGGAGGAAATTCTGCCTCCAAGTCTATTTACATAAGAAGATAAATATCAGCATTAAAGTCCTTGCTTCTTTCTTTCTTTTTGGCCACACCATGCAGCATGTGGGATCTTAGTTCCCTGACCAGGGATAGGACACCCGCACCCCCTATAGTGGAAGCTCGGAGTCGTAACCGCTGGCCTGCCAGGGAAGTCTCAGTCCTGGTTTCTTAATACACCAAACTAAGTATATTTCCGGTTCTTACAGACCGACACCTATATTTCTCTTACAAAGCTGTTTACAAGGACACATTCTTGGTCCTCAGGTTAGCGAGCATTATCAATTCAACTATCTCTTCCCATCACTTTCACCTCTAGCAAAGCAGACTTCCACCATTAAGAAAAAAAAAAAAAGGCTAAGTAAGGAAAAAAATTCTACTGACCTTGAATAGTTGCCAGTGTACTGTTGCTCATCAGAGCTGGGCTGAGAGCACCACCCAGGGTCCCTGGATTGAGACTGAGTAAGGCACCTCTGAAAGTACAAAAGAACAGTCACTTTATTACAATGTAGATGCCTGTGTCAGTTTGACAACATACTCAAATGGATAAGAAAAAGGAAAATACAACTGGGGAAGTATATGGAAATATGTTACTCTCTTTACACTCTTACATGGTGTGGTTAGTACTTCCAAGTTACTGCTTTCCTTGACGCTCACTTGTACAAAGCAAAACGAGGTTATGGTCCACACAGAATGTAAAACTTGCAGTCATTTTGACTCTTTGAATTACTTCATTCTCCTTTTTTCCAAAACAAAAGGGAAAAAATGCCAGAGAAAGGAATATATTTACGAAGTAATTCTTATTTGTTTCATGGTAATATAAAATTAGGAATCCTATGACTGTATCTCTTATTTATGTTTGAGAATTAGAAAGCAGACAGTTCAGAGATTAATGGAGAAAGCATAAGAATAAAGAGTCAGGAATCCTGGGCTTTCTTCCTGGTCCCATCACTCAGGTATAATCAGTGGCCTGGTGTTCTGTATCTTCATCTAGAAATAAAGGTATGACTACTGTCCTTCCAGAGTGTTAAGAAACTTAATTCCAACCATAATCAAAATCCTTGTGCTACTACTATAGAGCAACCCATTTCAAAGAGATTATGGCTTTAAAGGATTTTTTGTTTTTGTTTTTTGTCTTTTTTTGCACTTAAGATAGTGATGAAAAAGTATTCGCTATAAGTTACCCCAGGGATGACCTCCTAGCTGTTTCTCAGATGTAAACAAGATGAGAAAGCACCTTACCCAGCTGCAAACTGTGAGGGTGCCATCAGGCCTGGGTTTAGTCCTGCAGCCGCAGCCATGGCAGCAAGACTGGCATTTGCTGGCAACTGTGCAGCTCCTTGGAGGGCAGCAGCTGCTGCTGTCTGCAACCCTGATGCTGTCACCATCACCTGGCTGGTCCCAAGAGGAGAGGACAAAGGAGTGGAGGTGGTGTGTGTTGTGCTGGTCTCACTGGCACTGGATGCCTCAGAGGTGGAGGCTGAGGCAGAGGGGGAGGGACTCAGAGAAGGGGAAGTGACTGCTGAGGAAGCTGGAGGCGCTGTGGAAATCACGGCTGCAGTGTTGTTGGAGGTGGTGTCTGTAGTGCCTGAAAAGGGAATCATATTAGAAAGTGACCTTCTGTAAATGTTTTTGGAAGAATGGCTGCTTTATTCAACCATAATCTAGAATCAACTGAATAATTAATTTACCATCCAGTAACCTCTAAACATGTCCTTTTTTATTAACCGAGTTTAGTGTTTCTAGGGAAATTAACCACAAAAACAAACATTTTAAGAACCAAAGCCATGAACCTACTTTAAGAGGCAAGAGCAATAAAGTAACCATAAAACAAACAGGGAACACAGCTTTCCATTTCCAATTTCCTATTAAAAATTAAAAAAACACAGAAGCTCTAACTACAGAACACAACTGCTCTGGGGAAGAAATGTACAAGCAAAAAAATCCAAGCTTCTGAAAAGCATTTTCATTCAGAAATCTCCTTAGTAGTCTCTATAGAAAAATCAAAACAAAGCAATGAAATCAAGAAAAATTAAAAGTTACACATTTTTCTCAAATAAGTGTCAATAACATGTACAGAAACAGTATGAAAATAACTAAAGGCATATGTCCAGATGCCTTTTTTTTTTAATTTTTAAAAGTTTATTAAAAAACAAAACATAATGGTACAAAAGGTTGAAAGTAAAAGAACTGGAAAAGATATACTGTGCAAATATAAACTAAAAGGAAATTATATAATAACAGATACAGTAGACTTGAAAGCAAAAGCATTACTAGAAATAAAAAAGGGCACTTCATATCAACAAGACCAATTTACCAGGAAGTTTTAAATTTGTATGTACTTAACTTCAAATTATATAGAGCAACAGAGCTACAAGGAAAAAATAGACAAATTCACTATCATAATAGGAGATTTAACATACTGCTGTCATTCACTGATAGAGGATAACTCTTTCAGAACCAGTAGACCACCCCCCCAAAAAAATTAGTAAGGATATAAAAAACTTAAATAACGTGAGCAGCAAATTTGATTCAACACGCAGATATATAGTCACTATACTCCAAAACTTTAAATTACAAATTATTTTCAAGCACGCTTGGAACATTTTTAAAACTGACCATACTGTGCTATAAGGCAAATTTTAACAAATTTCAAAGTATTAAAATTATACAAACTGTGTTTCTTGACTTGCAGTTAAGCTACAAATCAGTAACAAAAAAGTAACTAGAAGTTATGAAATACACTACTTCTAAGTAACCCCCCAAAAAACAAATCACAATTGGAGTTAGAAAATAATTTGAACTGAATGATAATAAAACTATTACATACCAAACTTGGATGTGACTAAACCTGTGCTTACAGGAAAATGTATAGTCTTTTTTTTCCCAAGGTAACAGTAGTATTTTTTTTTTTAATTGCACACATGTCTATAAACCTAATAAATAGGTTTTCTCTAATTTTTTTTATACAGCAGGTTCTTATTAGTCATCAATTTTATACACATCAGTGTGTACATGTCAATCCCAATCGCCCAATTCATCACACCCCACCCCACCCCCGCCGCTGCTTTCCCCCCTTGGTGTTCCTACGTTTGTTCTCTACATCTGTGTCTCAATTTCTGCCCTGCAAACCGGTTCATCTCTACCATTTTTCTAGGTTCCACATATATGCATTAATATACGATATTTGTTTTTCTCTTTCTGACTTACTTCACTCTGTATGACAGTCTCTAGATCCATCTACGTCTCAACAAATGACCCAATTTCATTACTTTTTATGGCTGAGTAATATTCCATTGTATATATGTACCACATCTTCTTTACCCATTCATCTGTCGATGGGCATTTAGGTTGCTTCCATGACCTGGCTATTGTAAATAGTGCTGCAATGAACATTGGGGTGCATGTGTCTTTTTGAATTATGGTTTTCTCTGGGTATATGCCCAGTAGTGGGACTGCTGGATCATATGGTAATTCTATTTTTAGTTTTTTAAGGAACCTCCATACTGTTCTCCCTAGCGGCTGTATCAATTTACATTCCCACCAACAGTGCAAGAGGGTTCCCTTTTCTCCACACCCTCTCCAGCATTTGTTGTTTGTAGATTTTCTGATGATGCCCATTCTAACTGGTGTGAGGTGGTACCTCATTGTAATTTTGATTTGCATTTCTCTAATAATTAGTGATGTTGAGCAGCTTTTCACGTGCTTCTTGGCCATCTGTATATCTCCTTTGGAGAAATGTCTGTTTAGGTCTTCTGCCCATTTTTGGATTGGGTTATTTGTTTTTTTAATATTGAGCTGCATGAACTGTTTATATATTTTGGAGATTAATCCTTTGTCCGTTGATTCGTTTGCAAATACCTTCTCCCATTCTAAGGGTCAGATGCCTTCTTTGCATTAAAAAATTTAAGTGGCTATTGGGTAATGAAAATCAGCTCTCAAAAAGTCTATTGTGGTAAACATTTTCTTCTTCTTTTTTTTTTGGCCGTGCCACACACCTTGCGGGATCTTAGTTCCCCAATCAGGGATTGAATCCGGGGCCCCAGCAGTGAAAGCACCAAGTCCTAACCACTGGACCACCAGAGAATTCCCAACATTTTCTTATTTGAGGAAACAAAAACATACAATGATATTATGATTCTCATAAAATTTAGTATGAAAAATGAAGATCTAGAAAATTGTTCTTTGAGAGGCCTAAAAAAAAATCAAAATGCCAAAATTTCTTTTTGTTGTAAGGAGAACAAACATTTGAATACAAATAACTAACTGACATTAAAAATATCACTGACAGCTAAAACACATTCACTGAAATGGTTTACTATTATAGATGAATATTGTCCAACAGAAATACAGTACATATGTAATTAAATTTTCTAGTAGTCCCATTGAAAATAGTAAAAAGAAAGAGGTGAAATTAGTTTTAATATTATGCTCTATTTAACCCAGTATATTCCAAATATATTTCAACATAAAATCAATATTTTAAAAATTTAATGAGTTTTTTTCATACTAAGCTTTGAAAAGGAAATCTCAATTTGAACTAGCCACATCTTACATGTATAAAAGCCATGAGGCTAGTGCTTACCATATTGTATGGCACAGGTCTAAAATATCTCTAGAAGTTAGGCCTAGTGCTACTTAAAGAATATCAAGTCGGGCTTCCCTGGTGGCGCAATGGTTGCGAGTCCGCCTGCCAATTCAGGGGACAGGGGTTCGTGCCCCGGTCCAGGAAGATCCCACATGCCGCGAAATGGCTGGGCCCGTGAGCCATGGCCGCGGAACCTGTGCTCCGCAACGGGAGAGGTCACAACGGTGAGAGGCCCGTGTACCGCAAAAAAAAAAAAAAAAAAAGAATATCAAGTCCCTTTGCCTAAAGCAGAAATAACTGATAAGGCATAGGATAGATAAAGAAGATGCCAACTATTCCCAATGAGCTGTAATTTTGATGCTATCTAACATCATCAAAGTACAGAACAGGCCCTCTTACTACAGTAATCAGTAAATGCTACATACAAAAAAACCGGTTGCCTAAACTAGCTGGAACTTCATTTAGCAAAAGTCACTATGTTCTAGGATATAATCAACCACATATATGTGTAGAGCAGAACCTAAGTGGTATTTTCTCAAGATAGAGAACTGATAAAGACCAAAAACATCTATAAATTTTCAATATAATACTTCTATGAGGTATAAAAGACTTCAGAGATGAAAGAAGAACTAGACCAATCAAGTATTTCAAACCTATAAGCATATTGGAAAAAAGATCTATGTAAAAGAACCTTCTTTGTGATAAAATCTAACGCTAAGGCGTAGAAGATTCTCTTCTCTCATAAAAGTTGTATTAAAAATTCAGGCAGTTTTGTTCTTTTAAAATCTATTTTGAAGCCTTCTTCTGGCCTATACTAAGAATACCTAGAATTCATCTCTCATTTTAACTGTTAAGGAAATGTTTCTTTCACATATTGCAGAGCTGGGAGAAAATTAGACACCATCTATTTCAGTACTGACTCTACTTTTCCCACCTCCTATCATGCTACACAAAAGGGTTATGTGGTCTCTGAATTAATCAGGTAAACATATCTTTCTTACTGTTAAGTGAAAAGGGAGGATTTACTCCTTTTTCTGTCCCTCTCAAAAATATAAATAAGATGATTCCCTCTTGACTGCTGCTGTTCCAAAGTACAATTACATCTTTGTGGATATTATTAATCATAGTTTCATTATTCAGTTCTAAATCTATCAGACCAATTTATATCACTGAGCTATTGATGCTGTGTTGGGTCTTATATGTTTGGCAGATTCATACATACTTTTTCACTTTGACACTCTTTTCCTAAGACCTGCCCCCTGTTCTATAGAAAGGTATATATCTTCTCTCACTTCTCTTCTACCGCTAGTAAATTTCAATCTTTTCTTGACCAATTTTTCAGCTTATCTAACCTGATTTCACTTACGGGCACTACTTTCTTTTCAAACTTCTGAAATGAACTTGAGGTCAAAGGCTTAAAGTAGCCTTTTCTTCACTCTCCACTGCCATTTTCAGACCATTTGGTATCATTTTCTTAAAATCCCGCATATATACAAAGAAAATCCCATTAATTTCATCAGTGAATTTAACCTGGGCTAAGAGATGATGACTCCAGAAACCATTCAAAGTAGCTCTTTCTGGTTGTTATCCTCCAACCACATTCTAGGTGTCTTCAATATGAATGTCATATGAGCACTAGAGTATAATAATGGGATTTTCAAATGAATTCTCCCAGTGAATCACCTCTTAATCAATATATATCTTTTATCTATATTCTTGGCAACTTAATTACTTGGGCAACTTTGATCAGGGAAGTGATGCCTGCTGAGCTTTCGCGTCCTCAACAACAGAATTAGACGCCATCACCACCTCACAAGGTTAGTAGGAAGTTACGTGCAAGAATATAGTGTGTGGCACAACCTCCTGTTTCCCACCTCATCCTTTTTAATTGAAAAAAATTTTTTTTTAATTATTGAAGTATAGTTGATTTACAGTACTGTGTTAGTTTCAGGTGTACAGCAAAGTGACTCAGTTGTATGTGTGTGTGTATACATATATAT